AATTGATTGAGGATTTAAACCAAGTATGGAGATTGTGGTACTATCGCTAATTGAGAATTATGCATGAAAGGTGCTCGATTCATTTGGTTGTGGAATGTGGAATGTTGTTCCAGATTGGACGGATGTTCTTGTGTGTTATGGGAAAAAGGGGGTTATTATGGAGCCAGGAAAGATTATTGGCCTAGTTCGGTACGATCAGAATCGGGTTGATGTCTGTGAATGGATTTAAATATGAATATGGGCTCTATATCAGGCCAGATGTGTTCATTTCAGCATAACTCTCCTTATCGAGGAGTATTCAGATGTTGGATGTTATTTCATTGTCGGTTATTTTATGTAATGCTATATTGTGCCGTGTGAGTTGCGAAATGGCTTGATAAATTTCTTGTGTATTGAGGTTCCGCGTAGCGATTGTGTTATGTGAGTAGGATGGCTCTTGAGATTTAGATCATATATCGCACTTTAGTTGTGCTTGAGTTTTGTAGCTTATGGCGCTATCTGTCTCCCCAGGGATAGTATTATGCACTTAGCGTGCTTGTGGCCGATATTCGGTACTTTGTAGTAACGAGCGATTTTGCTCGGTGTGTATCTTCTTGTGTGAATTTTATGTGTGGATCGGGTGACATGCCGCCACAGGTATGTTGTTTGGATCGGATTGCATGCCGCGACAGTGTGATGTTGAGTACAGTTCCCTATATCTGTTTTTGTGTGTTTTGTTTCCCATTTTCTGAGTAAAGTTCATATTAGTTGCGTGAGTTGAGTAGTCCCTTCCAGAGTTCATTTTTCTTATGTATCAGTTCGAGCTTGTGGCCTATTGACACGTTGTGGCATCATATGGGACTTTTGATCATGATCGGGGTAGCTTAATGCCTGAGCAGTTCATACTGGGTGAGACGGGATTATTGGATCTAGGATCAGTGCAGTCGGATTATATGAAGTATATTAAAGAGAAAAGATCATTATTTGGTTTAGAATGAGGTAATGGTTCTTGTCAGAAGTATAAACTCAATGATTTGTTGACTCAGCAGTTGGTTATGAATTTCTACACATCTCTTCCGTTGTAGCAGTACTGCGAGAGTTGGAACAAGACTTATATATATCATGAGGTGCATTGTGAGCATCAGTTTCGGGGAATGTCGGTTATTATAATTAGAGAATGTTATTATGGTCCTGTGAATGATATGGTGCATGGTGAGAATTCAGCAAAGACATACAGTCATGTTTTGGTACCTCGTGTAGTGATTGATACGGTGTTCATATATTGGAAGCAGGTCAGGTAGAGAATTTCGGATGTTGGAATTGGACTCTAAGCTTATTTTGCTTGAATAAAATGGAATATCTTCTTAATTCATCGAGCTATTATGCTCAACTGGGTTGTAGTAGCATGGGTAGGTGCACGAGGTGTTAAATAGTGATTTTGGACAACTCCCCCGCAGTTCTTAGCACATTCGAGGATGAACCTATGTATAAGTGGGAGAGAATGTAATGACCCGATCGATCATTTTGAGCTCTAGTGCGTCGTTCAGCAGTTTGAGGCCATGAGCAACTTCACTTTAGGTATTATGACTTGTACGCATGGTTGGAGTTGAATTTCGGGAAGTTCAGAGTTGATTTGGAAAGAGAATTCTCATTTCGGAAGCTTTAAGTTGAAAGAATTGACTAAGATTGGATTTTTGAGTAAACGACCTCAGAATAGGGATTCGAAGGTTCTAGTAGGTTCTTATGATGATTTCAGACTTGGGTGTATGTCCGGATCGGGTTTCGGAAGACCCAGGAACGTTTCGGCACCTATTGTGGAAGTTAGCATTTTTCGAAGAATTTCATAAGTTTGGGTTGAAGTGCATTTATGTGTTATCAATGTCTATTTGGGATTCCGAGTATGGGAATAGCTCCGTATGGTGATTCTGGTGTTGGGAGCGCGATCAGAAGTGAATTCGGAGGTCCGTGGGTCATTTTGGAGTCATTTGGCTAAAGATAAAAATTTGAAGGTTTTTGAGGAGTTTGACCGGAAGTGGACTTTTTGATAATGGGGTCGGAATCCAATTCCAAAAGTTGGAGTAGGTCATAATATCGAATGTGACTTGTGTGCAAAATTTGAGATCAATCAAATGTGCTTTGATAGGTTTTGACATCGAATGTAGAAGTTTGAAGTTCAATTGGGGTGTGATTCATGATTTTGATGTTGTTTAATGTGATTTGAGGCCTCGAGCAGGTCCGTATTATGTTATGGGACTGGTTTGTGTGATTGGACGGGGCCGGGGGCCTCAGGTGTGTTTTGGGGTGTTTTTGGATCATTTTGAGATGTTTTGCAATAGCTGATGCTGGTGTATGGCATTGTTCTTCGCATTCGCGAGGATCCTCCCCCGTTCGCGAAAAAGGATTTGTCTTTAGGGACTCTGTTCTTCGCGTGTGTGAAGAAGGAAATCTCTGTTGCATAGGTCTGACTTCGGAGGCTCATCTCTTGCAATCTATAAGGAATTTGAGATCATCCAAAATTAAAAGTTCTATCTCTTTGTGTCTAGTTTCCAGAAAAGTAAACCATTTAACATTTGGATTTGTGTACAAAAAGTTATGGCTGATACACTACAGGCTTTCCGGGAAGATGAAGAAGAAATTTGTGTTGCACATGGCTGACTTTGGCAGCTTACATCTCAAAATCTATAAGAAATTGGGAGATGACCAACACATGAAAGTTGTTGATCTTGGTTCTTGTTTTCAAAACATCAAACCATTTATCATTTGGAGTTTTGTACAAAAGGTTATGACAATTATACTAGAGGCTGCCAGAGAGGAATTTGGAAAATAGTTTTTGGGAATTTTCTTCTTCGCATACGCGAAGAAGAGTCGTCTGGGCAGTGTATAAGTGTAAAGAAATGGGTTGGCTCATTTCATCTCATTTCCTCCATGGGAGTCGACCTAGAAGAGATTTTGGAGCTCCATTTACATCATCCATGCCAAGGTAAGTGATTCCAACCTATTGCAAGTTTATTACTTGGATTATATCTAGATTTTAACATGAAAAAACATGTAAATTAATAGAAATTTTGGGATTTTGAAGAAAACCTAGGAAATTTGTATTCTTGGATTTTGACCACGATTTTGGACATGAAATTGAGAGCCAATTATATATTTGAGTTCGTGAGTTTGTCGATAAACTTTATCTTCTAAAAAGTTTGGAATCCGGGCACGTGGGCCCAAGGGAGATTTTGTCAACTTTTCGAGTGGAGTTGGGATTTTATATAAATTGAATTGTTATGAGCATTAGGGTGTATTTTCATTGGTTTGCCCGTTATTTAACTAGTTTTGGAGCGTTGGGGCATCGGTTTGAGTCGCCGGAAGGGGCTTGGAAGCCGATTATTGGATTTCGGAGCGAGGTAAGTCTCCTTTCTAACCTTGTAAGAGAGAATTGTTCCCATAGATGAAATAATTGGTTATGTGCTCCTATTTGTGGGGGTTAGGTACGCACAAGGTGACGAGAGTCCGTGTGTAGCTACAATTTAAGTTCGGTTAGTATAGGACCCAAAAGAATACTATACCTGAAATATTTGTAATCTTATTGAAAATTGTAATTGCCTAAATCATATTGAATTAGTAAAAGAATTTCTAAAAAGGGTTAAACCTCATTTTCTTAAATCGTTAAAAGAGAATTGACTTTTCCTTGGATAAATATTTCTTGAGGAATTCTTAATTTAGTATTTGAATGTGTGTATCTATGAGTACCTACATCACACGTATGATTCACGAGCGAGGTAACTCTATTATTTTTATTTGACCGTGTCGCACGTATGATTCGAGAGCGAGGTAATAGATGCATCTATGGTTCACGCCATTCGACCCTCTGGTAGTGCACAATTTAAATATTTGTTGGATCGGGCCGTACAACCTCGGCATGATTTGCGCATGCTTGTAATGCTTGCTTGAGATTTACAAATTGATATTGCCTCCCTGATCTGAGATAAATTGATAAATAATGGATTATGAATTTGGAGTCTTCTAAATATAAAAAGGAATGTTTACTTGTTTCTTGACTTACTTGAGTTTACTACCGTTTTTAATAAATTCATGATTATTCGTATTATTTAATATATTATTATTGGACCACTAGTAAGTGTCGAAGTCGACCTCTCGTGTCTACTTCTTCGAGGTTAGACGGAATACTTACTGGGTACACGTTATTTTTGTACTCTTACTACATTTGCTGTGCAATTTTTGTCGCACAGGAACATGTATGTCTAGTTGCCTAGTTGGGCACAACGGCATGGTTGATATGGAGACTTAGGTGAGCTGCACCTCTCGAGACGACCCGCAGCCAGCAGAGTCTCATTCAGAGTATTGTACTGTATTTTCTTTTCTGTACAATTTGTATTCTAGACAGTTGTTGTATTACATTATTTTCTAGAAACTACTCATGTACTTGTGACACCGGGTTCTGAGATGATTATGGAGTATTCTGTATTAACTTCTACACATTCTTTTATTTATTTTGTAAAGATTATCTTTTACTAGCCAAATTGAAGGAAAATCATAGTTTTCACAATTATTTAAACGAGAATTTAATTAAGTATTTATGGTTGGCTTGCCTGACAGCGGTGTACGACGCCATCACGACCCTCATTGGATTTTGGGTCGTGACACCAGAAGACCGGGTAAGGAATTCTGTTAACCCGAGAGAAGGTATTAGACACTCCCGAGTTCCGTGATTTTAGCACGGTCGCTCAACTATTAATAATTAGCCTAATTATCTATTTTATTACATGTTTTAAACATATTGTGCATTTTTAACTTTATAACCTCTTTTAATATTTATGGATTTATTTCTGAACAAGTTATGATTGTTGTACACTTGTCGTTTTGTTACACATTGCAAACCGCGTCACATGAAATGCACCCGTGATTTACAACATTTATTTTATTATTGTTGAAGCTGTGGTTGAGTCACACGAAATGCACACCCGAATTGGGGATTATGTATCATGACCATGCCACGGGAACCGTACTCATAGCCACAATGATTTATTTTTCACCTTTCACTTATCACAAGTTGATCGCAAAAGTTTTAGACATTCAAAAAATTTCAACCTGTTCCTATATTTAAGGACATATTATGTAATCAGCCTCAGATTTGGTTCTTTTCTTCTGGCGTCCTACATTCTGCTACCCAAAATCATTACCTGAATCAACAAACTAAACAATCTTTTTAGTCTAAATCACACTAGACACCACACCCAACAATTTCAATCGCAAGCATGCCAACAAAAAGAAAGAGCACAATCTGTAGTTTCTTTAGCGCTAACGGATGAAGCAGTGAGTGAAACTATAATACTGGAATCACATGTTCAATGTTATGCCTCTGTACCAAACAAAAAAAAATGTTAAATAATCCAACTTCAGTGATACTATGTTTTATTACTTCAATATCAAATCCCTATTAATTAGGAGAAAGAAATTGTTTTCTTGAATTTGTTTAGACATAGAAGTACAATAATCAATTTGCTTAAAACACTTAAATCAACAACATAAGGGCAACATTCATATAAAAAAAAAGGAAGTTAGACAAGGAATTGAAACAACAAGGAAAGAAAGGGATTGTACCTTAAGGATCAAAGCTTTTTATTAATTTAAAAGTAAACTCCAGCCACATACACGATAGTTAAGATGAATCAGCAACTAAACTCAACCAAACGACCACGGCCGCATTAGAGAAAACTCGAACAGAACCTCTCGGAATTGCAAACAGGCAGCTCGACTCGACTCGCACCTGCCATGTCGTTTTGGACGATTTCGAGGCTATTTTTGGGTGGTTTTTGGGTCGTTCTTGGGGTCTGTCTCGCAGCTAGCTTTGCTGCTATTTTTTTGGGGTATTTTGGAGCTGTGTTTCGATTGGATTTTCAAGGTGTTTGTGGCGCTACTTTGAGCGACTGTTTTGGTGGTTTAAAATGACGCTACATAGATGAAGACAGAGGGATGAAAGTAGTGTTCTTTGGGTAGTGAGAGTGGCGGCAACTGGAGGCTTAGAGGTTCTCCTAAAATTCAAAGAAAGACCACCTCCATCTGTCCATTCTTCCATCCTTATCTCTGTGTGTGTTTGATTTTTGAAAAAAAGGGGCCTAGAGGAGTTGCTCTGTGTGTGTATATGATGATGTGCGACTGCTTTCTCTTAGCTTTTTCTATGGGAGGGGATCTAGAATTAGGTCTAGGTTTTGGGAATGTGCCCATTTTAAAGAGAGGGAATTAGGGTGTATTTTAGAGATGAGGGGATATTGGGTTTTGGGTAGTAGGCTTGGTGAATTGGGTTAAGTTTTGGGCCAATTTGGGCCATGACTTGGACATTTGGACAAAACAAGACTTTAGGAGAAATAGTCCAAATTAAAACTTCTTTCCTTTTTTGTGATTTTGATTTTTCTTTTATTGATTAATGGATGAAAATAAAAATACTACTCCTAGACTTGAATAGCAAGATAAAATACTAATCACTCAAAATTNTTATATTAAAAATTTGACTCTTTTTTTTATATTGTTTTCAATTTTCTTAAATAATATATATATATATATATATATATATATAATATGAGCTAAAATATGTAGATTAAACTTAAAATATATTTACCTACTAAAAGTGATGAAAAACTCAAATATAGTAAAAAATTAGGTGCTCACAGCTGCCTCTCTTTGCTTGGAAACATGAAGACTTTCAGGCAAAGACAAAGTAAGCCATGTGACTAATATTTGACCATATCGTTATTCTAAACAGGAAGAAAATAATAGAAAAAGGTACAACCGAGTCCTAGTTTTGGAAAATATACATATCCCGGGTTATAAGGAAATCAGGTCGTGTGTAGTTCAAGAAGAATGATGGAGTGATGAATTTGAGAGTCGAGCGAGGTTCTGTCGAGGCTCCGGTTCGTGATCTTGTTATTACATCAAAAATCAAAATTAAAAAGACTAATTAAGCCTATAAGCTACAAGTTACAAGATTCTTATCTATGAGTCTTCTGAAGCTTGATCTTGAGTCTTGGTTGGTTCTTCATGCAAAATCTGATCTGAATCTTGATGCTTGTTAGCTGCAGGTGCTAGTTCATTCCTTTTTCAACTTCTCGGATCAAGGCGGGACATGCAAAGCTTGTGACTTCAATCACGTCATGAGCAGTCCACATCTTTTCTCCTCTTCTGCACTTTGAGTTCACTTCTTTTTCTTATTCTTCTTTTTTCTTTTATTCTGTATTGAGATTCCTTCTTTTGGCCATCTCTAACCCTGTGCCTCGAGGTAAAACCTGCTCAAACACCAAAACAAACAAACAAACAAAATTTTTCTACCCCAGTTTTCACTAGGAAAATTTCATGAGTTATTGTAACAAAATTCTAAACTACTTCTTTATTGAAAGGAACAAAAGTCAGGATTGTGTATCCTTGGGGAAAAGAGATTATGGAGTGAAGACCCTATATTTAAATTGAAATCAACTAGGGATTGGATACCCTATTATTGGAAAGTCATCAACTGTAACGATCCGGCCGGTCGTTTCATGAGTTACCGCTCCGTTTCCCCCTATTTTTGCTTCCTATTATCTTGTTCAGCTGTATTATGTATTAACGGGTTGGTTGGCTTGGGTTTGGAGAAGTTTTGGTAAGGTTTGAGACACTTAGTCTCTTTTGAGTAAGCTTAAGTTGGAAAAGTCAACCGGATATTGACTTATATGAATAAAGGCTCGTATGTGAATTACGATGGTTTGGATAGCTTCAGGAGATGATTTGGGACATATGAGCGTGATCTGAATGGGATTTGGAGGTCCGGAGTAGATTTAGGCCTGAATTGGCGAAAATGGAATTTTGGCGTTTTCCGGTTGATAGGTGAGATTTTGATATAGGGGTCGGAATGGAATTCCGGGAGTCGCAGTAGGTCCGTTATGTCATTTGGGATGTGTGTGTAAAATTTCAGGTCATTCGAACGTGGTTTGATAGACCTTTTGATCAAAAACGGAATTTGGAAGATTTTGGAACCTTAGGCTTGCATCCGATGTGTTTTGGTTGATCCGATGTAGTTTGAGATGTTTTAAAGATTTGTATAAGTTTGGATATTGGTATATGACTAGTTCGTTCTTTTAGTTGAGGCCCCGGGGGCCTCGGGGTGATTTTGGATGGTTGACGGGAGGTTTTGGAGTTTAGTTTGGCAGTTAAATTTTTACGGTTGCTGTCATAACCACATCTGCGGTTGGGAGGCCGCAGGTGCGAAATGCAGAAGCAAGCTGTAGAAGCGGCCAAGGGGAAAGTCAGGCAAAGCCGCAAAAGCGGGCATCTGGACGCATCTGCGTGACCGCAGATGCGGAAGAAAGGTCGCAGGTGCAGTTCCAGGGATTTAAGTGAAAACCGTAGAAGAGGTAGATTGACCGCAAAAGCGGTAGCACAGAAGTGGAAAAAGGGACTGCAGGTGTGAAATACCTGGGTCAGAAAGTATATAAGGTTTCCTATTGTCTCAGGATGTATCAGGATCTGAGACAACATTATTGGTGGAGGAGACTAAAGAAAGACATTGTGGGATTTGTGGCTCGGTGTCTCTATTGTCAGCAGGTGAAATATAAACATCTGAGACCTGGTGGCTTGCTTCAGCGGATGGATATTCCAGAGTGGAAGTGGGAGCGGATCACTATGGATTTTGTAGTTGGACTCCCACAAACTTTGAAGAAGTTCGATGCTATTTGGGTGATTATGGATCGGCTGACCAAGTCCGCGCACTTCATTCCTATGTGTACTACCTATTCTTCAGAGCGGTTGGTAGGGATCTATATTCGAGCGATTGTTCGTTTGCATGGTGTCCCGATTTCTATCATTTCAGATAGAGGTACTTAGTTTACTTTGCAGTTTTGGAGAGTCGTGCAGAGAGAGTTGGGTACTCAGGTTGAGTTGAGCACAACATTTCATCCTCAAACGAACGGGCAGTTCGGGCGCACTATTCAGATATTGGAGGACATGTTGCATGCTCGTGTCATTGATTTTTCAGGGTCATAGGATCAGTTTCTACCACTCAGAGAGTTTGCTTATAACAACAGCTATCAGTCTAGTATTGAAATGGCTCTATATGAGTCTTTGTATGGGAGATGGTATTGATATCCGGTTGGTTAGTTTGAGTCCAGTGAGGCTAGGCTATTGAGTATAGAATTGGTGCAGGATGCTTTAGACAAGGTAAAGGTGATTCAGGAGAGGCTTCGTACAGCGCATCGAGACAAAAGAGTTATGCTGACAGGAAGGTTTAGGATGTGTCCTACATGGTTGGTGAGAAGGTTCTATTGAAGGTTTCACCCATGAAGGGTGTTATGAGATTTGGGAAGAAGGGTAAATTGAGTCCTCGGTTTATTGGGCCTTTTAAGGTGCTTCGGAGGATTGGGGAGGTGGCTTATGAGCTTGCTTTTCCACCTAGCTTGTCGAGTGTGCATCCAATATTTTCATGTTTCTATGCTCTGGAAGTATATTGGCGATCCGCCTCATGTTTTGGATTTCAGCACGGTTCAGTTAGATGATGATTTGACTTATGGCGTGGAGCCAGTAGCTATTTTGGAGCGTCAGGTTCGAAAGTTGAGATCAAAGGATATAGCTTCAGTGAAAGTGCATTGGAGAGGTTGGCCCGTGGAGGAGGCTACCTGGGAGACCGAGCGGGAGATGCGAAGCAGATATCCTCACCTATTTGAGGCTTCAGGTATGTCTTTTGACTCGNCTTTTTGACTCGTTCAAGGACGAACGTTTGTTTAAGAGGGGGAGGATGTAACGACCCGGCCAGTCGTTTCATGAGTTACCGCTCCGTTTCCCCCTATTTCTCCTTCCTATTGTCTTGTTCAGCTGTATTATATGTTATCGGGTTGGTTGGCTCAGGTTTGGAGAGGTTTTGGTAAGGTTTGAGACACTTGTCTCTTTTGAGTAAGCTTAAGTTGGAAAAGTCAACCGGATGTTGACTTATGTGAATAAAGGCTCGGATGTGAATTCCAATGTTTTGGATAGCTTCAGGAGATGATTTGGGACTTAGGAGCATGATCATAATGGGATTTGGAGGTCCAGAGTAGGTTTGGGCTTGAATTGGCGAAAATGGAATTTTGGTATTTTCCGGTTGATAGGTGAGATTTTGATATAGGGGCCGGAATGGAATTTCGGAGTCGCAGTAGGTGTGTTGTATCATTTGGGATGTGTGTGTAAAATTTCAGGTCATTCGGACATGGTTTGATAGACTTTTTGATCAAAAGCGGAATTTGGAAGATTTTGGAACCTTAGGCTTGAATCCGATGTGTTTTGGTTGATTCGATGTTGTTTGAGGTGTTTTGAATATTTGTATAATTTTGGATATTAGTATATGACTAGTTCGTGCTTTTGGTTGAGGTCCAAGGGGCCTCGGGGTTGAGTTTGGCAGCTAAAGTTTTATGGTTGTTGTCATAATCGCATCTGCGGTTGGGAGGCCGCAGGTGTGGCTCCCGCAGGTGCGGAAGCAAGCCACAGAAGTGGAAGCGGTAGATTGACTGCAAAAGCATTAGCTCAGAAGCGAAAAAAGGGACCGCAGGTGCGAAATATATGGGTCAGAAAGTATATAAGGTTTCCTTCGCGAATTTTTGCTAAGTTCTCTATTTTTGAAGACGGAAAGTGAGCTAGGGCAGTGAATTTCAAGGGGAAATAGAAGAGTATCAGTTGAGTAAGTTACCTAAGCTTCATTACTTGAGTTTATGACCATTTTTCCATTGTTTAATCATGGTATTAGTGGAAATTAAGGAAGAAAATTGAGGGATTAGGGCTTGATATTGGAGAGGTTTGAGTGGGGATTTGAGGGGCCATTTGAGGTCTGATTTCGATGCTTTTGGTATGAATAGACTCGTGGGAGGACAAGGATTCTATTGATGTAATTTTTATGGAATTTGGAGACGTGGGTCCGAGGGTCGGGTTTGGATCAATTTCAGGATTTTTTGTATAATTTGATTATTTTCGCATGGGCTTCGTTCCCTTAGCATATCTATTGTTATGATTCTAATTTTGGGTAGATTCAGCGCGAGTTGAGGCCGAGGCGAGAGGCAAAGGCATCGCGAAGTAGTAATTCATCCGGTTTGAGATAATAAACCATTGTAAATCTGGAACTGAGGGTATAAAACCCCAGTATTTCGAATTGTTTTGGCAAATGAGGTGACACACATGCTAGGTGACGAGCATGTGGGCATGCACCGGTAGGGATTATGA